TCCTTTCAAATGTTTTTTATCCTTTGAAATAAAACAGATGAAAAAGAATTGTTTGAAAAAAAAAAAAATTGCAGAAAAACTCAAAAATCAAGGTGATACCAAATAGACCCCAAGTTTCAAATGAGATTAGAAAAATATACCTGTCATGGAATTAAAGGTAGATTTGCCAAGGAAAATATTGCAATCCCCGCCAGTCTCGACAACCAAAGCCTCAACATAGTGGCAATAAAACAAGCAGACAATCCCAAAATCACTATCAAGGAAATTACTCCTTCAATTGAGACAAACATGCTGCTAAACCAGTTGATTGGTCCACTGTATTTCTAGAACCAAACTTCATAAAGTCTACACTTCCTAAATGTGTGATAGAATAGAATAGCATATGCACTTCCACTATATAAAAATGTCTTTCTCACGATAAAATTCTTTATCCACATTAGAAACCAGTAGGTTATTCTAAAGACTTGTTAACCTTGTGTGGTTATATCATCTCTTAGATTTAGATATTGAACCTTTCTTTTACGGTTATACCAATTAGTGACATTACTGTATATGCATGTTATCACTTAAGTGGTTGTTTATAATCATCTCTGAAACTTTGATTATTAAAAACTTATACCATGCAGTCACATTACTTACCATGCATGTCGATTGTTGAGTACTGAGTGTGTGCAGTGAAGTGATGAGTTTGTGTAAGCCAATATACAAATACATTCCAATCAACAGATTGAATTATAGAATTCATGATAAAAGAATATCAAAGAATAAAATCAAAAAAAAAAAAAAAAAGAAGATAAATAGACCATGAAAATCAGTTTAATGCTTTGGACCAAAACGTCAATTTGGCTCCATGTAGTTCATCTCCCCATAAGCGAATTGAATGGCATAAATAAACCAAATCATGAAAATCATTAGTAGAATCAGAGTAAAGACAACAGAATAACCAACAGTTCAACTAACCACTACAAGCTAATATTGTAAATTAAAATGCAACCAAATATCATTTGGATGAACTAGAGGATAGCGATGAGACAAAATGAATTTAAGTCAACCAATTAGGTTTGGGACCTATCAATTGGCACAAGACAGGAAGTCATTGAATACCAAAAATCAAAAGTAACTTCAAAAACACTGATGCGAACATTGCAGGAAGAATAGAGAAGAAACGTAACAAGCTGAACATGGTAGAGGATAGGATTCAACAACATAATAAAGGAAAAACACAAGATTACAAGCAAGATTTTCTCAAATCACATCCAAATAATGATCCTGTTTAGCATCACATAACTACTTTAACAAGTTAGATATAAGAGTAATTGATAATAGGGCATTAGAAGTCAGCACTCAGGAAAATAGGTTACTTACCCCTAAAAACTTGTAACATGATAGGTGTTCTTGTGCTGATTTGAGTAAAGTTAAACCAATCAAATTAATCCTTTATCAAGGCAAACAACGAGAAGAATCTCTTTAATATGTGTCCCATAGTCTATGAGTCATATCTTCCAAGTGATACATTCAGCACAAGAACTAAGAATTAGCCTATAATATATATAACCTGAAAATGCTAATCGATGCATCCAATACTTATCCTTAAAGACCCATCTCTGTTTTCGCTAGTTAACGACAATTATTTCAAAATTCATGTCAATCAACGAAAAACAACATAAAATTAAATCCCCACCATCGATTGCCAATCCAAATTTCCCCCCCATCAATCAAGTGACTAAACCCCAATATTTGCAGATCTAACGAACTATTTTAAGCCCGGTGATTATAGCAAAAGAGAAAGCAAAATGGACAAATCATATGAAGGAAGAATCAAATCCCTAAGTACCCAATCAAAATTTAATCGATAAATAATTAAACATCCAAATGAAATCGAAAGCCATAATTCGAATGCCAATCCCGAAGGCTAACAAAACCCTTAATTCTTCAACCAAGAATCGAAACCCTACCGCGATTCAGGACGCCTCAGGGGGAGAGAGAGTAAGGTTGACACTTTGAAGAGATCGGACGACGGGACAGCCGGAGAGGAGGCTGTTGTTTTGGCCGTCGGAGGTTGCAGACAGATAGAGAGAGAAAGCGTTTTCTGACCGTTGGGGAAATTTCGAATGTAAGGGGGTTAAGATTTTATTATTGACCCAAAGCTTAGTTGCTTAACTTGGGCCAAGACGCTGTCCATTCTGAGACTTTGGGTATTGGGCCGCTATGGCAATTTATTTAGCTTAAAGTATGTATTTAACTACTCATCTCAATAAATTTGAATGTTTTAATCATTTATTTTATATTATTAAAATTTTAACTCTAAACTTAAAAGTTTAAAGATTTTAATTTCTAAACTAATAATATTTGTTAATTTTTTATTAAAATAAAAATAAAATATTTACAAAATCAATTCTTAAAGATTAAACATGTAATAATTTAATTTCAAAAGTTTAAAAATTAAAAATATTAGTAAATTAAAAATAATTAGTGGATAATTTTACCATATACATGAGAATAATATTAGATGTTTATAATCAAATAGATGATTAACTCAATCTAAAAAAAGAAATCTAACTGAAATTAAAAAAAATTTCTTTGCTGTTTTTTTTTAAATTTTCTTGAATTTTTTATCTAAACTTATGTAAGAAATTTTCTTTAATCTTAGTTAAAATTATTTTTTCAAATTAAGCTA